TCACTTGGTCGGTATAGTTCGCTTGTGAACTGAAACCACGGAGTTCTTTTTTTGTTTTTTGTTTGTATAATTCCTCTGTAACTTGTCGTGTTATGATCATAGTCCTCAGCTATGTTCATAGACCTTGAGAGAAAGAGCAGAGGAAGAGAAATACGGAGCATGTAGCATGCATGGGGAGATGAGAGGTGTGTACAAAGCCCTAAATTGTTTCTTTTTAAGGTAAGAGATCATTTGGGAGATACAGGCGTAGATGTACGGTAAATAAGATTGTTAGGGTTATAGTCCACCTTTTCGGAAAGGACTCCTCCGTATGGAGTTAGTTGGTATGTTAGGTCCTTTGCGACTGATCCTTCTTCCAGTTCCACTTCAGTTTGAATTCTATGCACTCTAGCTCTGATAGTCTAGAATTATCAGGTTTACAGTTACATACATTCTATCGTATTATAAGATTAATATCTAACTCTTCATTACATTTATGTTCGTAATTATTGCTGCTGACATGTTTTCTCTTTCCACCACTCCGCTATTTATCCCTTCCTCCCTCCAACCCTCTAAAAAGAAGAGCAGTAATGTAGCTTATGGCATTTGTTTTCACTTTCAATTTTGTTTCATTTTTGGGCAGGTAGTTTTCTTTTTGAAAAGAAGTAAATTTAATTTATGAAGCTAATTTTGTGTCTACTCCACTCGCAGCATTATATAACTAAGTAAAAGTTGCCATTGGTCTTTCTGAAACATGTAACCGTGGATTTCGTTCTATTAGTTTTAAAATTAATTTATCATATTCTCTTCCAGAGTATCCTTACCCTGCATTCGGTTATATTCTGCAGATTATCGTTTCAGCACGTAATCTAAAGGAGTCGTAAAGCATAAAGTTTTGGATTTCAAAACGACGTTTCATTTCAGAGAAGCACAGCGTCTCACGAGAGAAATATAATATGCTTATTATCTTCTTGTGGGCACGTGCTAGCGTAGTTGGTTGAGCCACTATGCTACAAGCTGGAAGGTGGTGGGATCGAATCCCGATGAGGTGGATTTTTTCAATTTACCTAATCCTTCCAGCTGCACTATGGCCCTGGAGTCGACTCAGCGTCTAACACAAATGAGTACCAGGAATATTCCTGGGGGTAAAGGGCGGACGGTGCGTAAGGCTGACAACATTACCGCCATATATGAGCCAACTGTCTAGAAAATGTGGGAACCTCAACTTCTCACAACCCTAAGGGCCTCCACAGCCTGTTACAGGGATACCGTTACTATTTTACTATCTTCTTGTACGCGGCTTAAATCATAATGAGGAGCTCCATAACTTGTACTCTTCTCCAAGTATAATTAGAATGATCAAGTCAAGAGGAATGAGGTGGGCAGGGCATATAGCACGAATGGGTAGGACCAGGAATGAGTATAGGATATTGGTTGGAAAGCCAGAAGGAGAGAGACCATTGGGAAGACCAAGGCGTAGGTGGGTGGACAATATTAAAATGGATCTTAGAGAGATGGGATGGGATGGAATGAATTGATCTGTCTCAGGACAGGGACCGGTGGAGGGCTCTTGTGAACACGGTAATGAACCTTCGGGTTCCATAAAGTGCTGGGAAATTCTTGAGTAGTTGCAGAATTAGCGGCTTTTCAAGAAGGGATCAGCTCCATGCGTGAGTGAGTGAGTGGCCTGCCTTAAATNGTTATGTATTGGGGTGAATCAACAGTGTAAAGTACCAGCCAAGAAATCTGCGTGTAATATTATACTATTGGGCTGATATAGCACTAACCCTCTGGACTTGTATTTTAAGTGCTTGGGTTAGATCTACATTGGGTTTAGTGGCTATCCTAAATGAGGTACTTGTTGGTTTTACTCAGATTCTCCAGACAAATTCTGGGTTTAGTAGCTCAATCAAATCACGACGGCATCCTTCCATATCCCTTCTAATTCATAATTCATCAGTCAACTTGCAATTCCATGCTATATACTCTATATATTGATATGGATGTAAAATAAACGACAAAAAGGACTCTACTGCCGACTCATATCGGAATATACCAACTGTCGGACTGTAATATTTGCTGAAACTTTCTACGAAACCAAAAATTCGATTTTAAATAAAAAATTAATTGAAAGTTCGGAAGTTATAGAGTCTATACAATTTTTATCATTTCACAAATGTCCTTAAAATTACATAAGTACGCAGAAGAACATGTTCCCCATCACAATTTGATGTGGATAGTTTCGATTACTACGCTGGGCCGCTGTCGAGAATCGGCCATGTTTTTAATTTTGACAAGAGATACAACGAATTTGCCCAACAGGCGCAAAAGATTCACCAATGACGTCATATATGTACAGATATGTAGAGTCAGTGACCTTAAGTACGAATTTACTTGTCCATTAACACCCTGAAACTCTAATGATCTTCAAGGAATAACAAAAGCCACCTTTGTTCAGAACCTGAACAATTAAACTACATCACTGAAATATATTTTGATATAACTATTCCATCTGTCATTTGGTACTGTAGTTGAGCAGTTTACATGATTACAACTCTTATTTTATAATATCTGAAATTTCAAGGTTCTTGTTTTTCTGACACATAGTGTAGAGTTACTAAGAATCTGTGATTGAACTGCCACCATCAGCGTGCATTCTCCTTTTCAGAAGTCTCAGTAATGGCAGTTTATTGAGAAGCTATTTCCTCTTCTTCAGCAGAACTGTTTTCGTCTTCCCCACTACTTACTCTCTTCTTTATTTATACATAACTCAATTTACCTGTGTCCTCGTCTCTTACCCACCCACCCCCACTCGAAATCCAATTAAGTTCCTTCAAAAGCAAATGCAAAGGGATGAAATAGACTGTAGACCTTCAATTATGGCGTGCAATTTGTGCACGAGATTTTTGGCTACAGAGTTCTTCCATCGGACTGAAAAGTGGTTGGAAGTTTATCCTGCCAAGAGAATATTGTAAATGACACTTCAGTTAGTGAAAATGTCTCTTCGTGTGAAGCTAATAAATTTGAAAATTCAAACACTAGAGATGTAAAATATAATTCACAATATACATGCTTCCAGGAGGAAGAGTGCTTTGTATGTTACGTCACTTAATAATATTTAAAGGGGCACTTTAGAGTCAGTTACTTCAAATGACACCCCTCCTTCCCAGAAGCTGTTACTGCAAGTGACGTGTTATAAAATGTAAAATGTTCGAGCCCTAAGAATTGAAACAGGGGACATATTCGTTGCTTCTGTTGGCAAGAATGTGCTGGTTGGTTCGATGTTTAGAGATCGGGAAGGAGTTCTTCTACTCTACCAGCCAGGGTATGTCAAACTTTATGCAAGAAATTGTATGGAAGAAACATCATTTCCCAGCGACAAACAAATGCTGACATTTGTAATGGGTTTATAATGTTGAAGGAATAGTCTACATCATTAACTGGCCGATGATGCGGCCTCGATCCTATAGTGGATGAAGCATACTTATGAATAATTACCTCTGCGGCTGGCAGACAATCTTTACCGTCGCTCTTACGAAATTTCCCTTCTTTTATGGAATCTTAAAGTTTCTTTTGGCTGGTCACGGTAGCCGAGCGGTCTAAGGCATGTACTTTCTTCGCTCGCTTGGAAACCGGGATCGCGGGTTCGAATCCCCCTCAGGGCATGGATGTTTAGTTTGTGTGTGTGCGTTTTTCTGTGTCTGTGTACAGGTAGAGGCCTTGCGACGAGCTGATCACCCGCCCAAGGAGTCCTACCGAATGTGTAAGATCTAGAAAAACTGAAGTGAACGGAGAAGTTCATGGAGGTAGGCCTAGGCCCACTGGGGCTGTAGTGCCAAGGAAAAATAAGTTTATTTTAACAAGTTCGGCCTACGCCTTGTGAGTTCCGTTCACATCTTAAAAAATTGCATTTTTCTTCTACTTACACCTAGATTTCCCAAGTGGTTTATCCCTTTCAGGTTTTCGGATTACCCATAAAATTCTATGATTACTTACATAATCCATTCCTCTTATATCTTATGGTGTCGAGGTTGTCTCCCATTTGATCATTTTATAGGCGGTAAAATTACTTGGACGAGTGATAAGCCCGTCTAAAGGTCTCTACCTAAACATAGGACAACACAAACACAGAACAGACTCATACACACACCAAACATTCATGCCTTGTGTGAAGATACAGCTAATTACGTGTTTTCGCACTACAAATTTGACGTCATTCCTGCATGTTTAAATAGTTCATATATTATTTTTGGTGAACTGATATAAATAATTTAACACAGCGCTTTATTTTAAAATGCACCAAAGTACTTCTCTGAACATGACTGTACGAAAAGACGAAACACATAAGGGAAAGTTTAGATTTATATAAAAATATATTAATCGAATTTTGTGGGTAATAAAGTGCATTATTTCGGGTCACGGTAGCCGAGCGGTCTAAGGCATGTACTGTCTTCGCTCGCTTGGAAACCGGGATCGTGGGTTCGAATCCCACTCAGGGCATGGATGTTTAGTTTGTGTGTGTGCGTTTTTCTGTGTTTGTGTACAGGTAGAGGCCTTGCGACGAGCTGATCACCCGCCCAAGGAGTCCTACCGAATGTGTAAGATCTAGAGAAACCGAAGTGAACGGAGAAGTTCATGGAGGTAGGCCTAGGCCCACTGGGGCTGCAGTGCCAAGGGAAAAAAGAGCGTTATTTTCTTTCCTAAAGTACTAATACTTCACACTTATCACTTGCTCCTGTCCTAAAACAGGAATAATATTCTCAGCATGAAATTTTTGTATAATTGCGTAATTGAGTTATTATGCTAGAGGTGTTTGCCTGGAGGAAGTGAGGAAAACTGCGTAAATCTCAGCCATGACAGCTGTTGTCGCGGCCGAAATTCTGACCAAGCACTTACCGAGTACGATTCAAGACCATCACCGCTGTGTCAGCCTGCTAGGACAGGCCGTCTCCAGGCTTCACGTAATAAACGTAATGCAAAGTCATAAGACCAGAAATAATTCTTGTCTTATTTCTTTACAGACAGAATCCTTGGATGAAGAACAGGTTACAAGTGAGTAATCCATGAATTTTATATTCTGAAACTTATTGTGTTTAGTAATTATAAATTTATTTTAATAATTATCGACACAACTACAACGAAAACTGTTGTTATTGGAACCTCTGTATGTTACAACCTCAAACCCATCATCGTTTGGTGCACTAACCGCAGGTTTGTTACTGAATTGTTACATTATTTTTCCCAACTACCTAATTAAAATATTTATACAGATTGAAATAGGTTTATAGGTATATTGTGCCGCTAACAGTGGCCACGCTGTCTAAGGCGCCAGCTTACCCGCTAGAATACCGAAACATGTGTTCGAATCCTACTCAAGGCATGGATGTCACACACGCTCGACAGTCTCGGCCGATCTGTTCGTTTCACAGCGTAGGCAGCTGGAATTTCTTGTACCACTCACGAATTGTTTCGTCCGTAGGTGGTTCTGTGTGGTATTTGGTCCGAAACCTCCGTTGCGCCGTCACAATTGACTCAGTTTCAGGAAATTGGAAGACAGAACGCCTTCTTATCCCCTGTCCTCGGCACGTTTCGTCACGAATACCCCGAAGCTGTGAAACCTGTAATTACGTCATGGTGTCTATTACCCAAACAAACTCGGATATATTCTCTACCTACTGGTATGCCCCTTTCTGCTGTCTGTCTTGGATATTACGCTGCCGAGTTCAGAATTTCCGGAGGCATTTATGAATTACATTGTGCTTTCAGATTATTCGGTACCAAATCTTAGAATCTGTCCCTTCTTAAAATATAAGACACAGTGTAAAATACACAAAGCACCGCTAAATGCAGAAACTCGGAATTCGAGTCCTCTCGAGTTATATTCTCGGTATTTTATTAATAGAATATTTCACTGAGTTTCCTCATTATGAACCGGGTTCTCAGCGAGAAATTTACATTAAAAAATTACATCATAAAAAGTAATATTGTTCTTGTGCATAATTAAGCACCACGCCACGAAGACATATGGGGGGAATAGATTACAGCCTTTTACATTAATTTTGGTACAGCATGCATGTGGTTAGATTCACATTCCAGCCAATTTACCTCTGGAGAGAAATCCGCCGTGTCTATTGAACAAAAGGTGAAGCACATCCAAGAGCTAACAGTGGCGAATTGCGAACAGAGAAATTCCGGCTCCTGAAGGGAATCGAAACCCAGCATTCCAGCCCATGACTTCTTATTAAGCATAAGTAGTATGTGTCACATTTATAAGCTTAGGAAGTGTTTCAATAGGCTGCGCCATAGCTCAAGCGGTTAGTCGCTGGCTTCCCACCGTGGCGGCCCGGGTTCGATCACGGGTCTGGTCAAGTGGGATTTGTGGTTGACAGAGTGGCGCTGAGGCGGGTTTTATCCGAGTACTTCAGTTTCCACTACCAATTTTCATTCCACCAAATTCTCCATCATCATAATCACCCGGGGCAGGTACAATAGGCCAATCAGTGGCCGTCGTGCCTAGTGGACCCAGTTGGACTCCACCCCCCACTAAGCGAATTAACTGGCCATGAAATCCAGTGTCCCACAACGAGCGGTTGCTTATTCCAACCCTCTTATATTACGTATATATATGTTTATCAATTCTATTTCTGTCTATAATTGCTTGTACTCAGCAATAGGAGTCAAGCCATGAGCTTGTATTCCGTAGAAGTAAAATATTTTACAGGGTATAAAACTCGGGTAAGATTGTATACTAAGACATGACGCCCGAAACCTGGAAACACGCCTTCTCAACAATAGTGAGGCTGTGTTTTCTGCTTTGACCGTGCAAAATAATTATAAAAGAAGAGTTCAGTTGAGAAGGGTTAGTTGAGTTTCGAGACAGCAGCCTGCCGGGAGCAGAGGAATTGAACAGAGTCGAGTCTCCGGAATTGGCAGTTGCAGAATAACGGCAAGAAAGGAGTTAGGCTGTGAAAAGAAGACTTAATATGTGATTTGAATTTAACAGTGACATTGTTAAAAATCCGTTGCCAGGATACGGCTAGTGAAGACTGAGAACCTTAGTGAGTGTGTAACGGTGAACTCTAAAGTGTGCAGATCAGCGATAGCTCTGTAATTACCTGTAGTTTCCAGTGGAGTGTTTAACGTGTCAGTAAATCCAATCATCCCATTAAAAACTCGTCTATAATTCACGTACACCCCCTACACATGACAATATATTTGTAAAAGGATTCCAAATGTAACCAGTGAAATACAAATCATTTTATTCTAGAAAATACTTAAAAGACATGTAATTATCTTTAAAGATTCAGTAATGGACACCAATTAAGTTAACCATGCACATCATTTCTTCGTAGATATAACAAACGACCAGTAATATTGTGTGAAATGACAGCGTTTATTTCCGTTAAGTTAATCTAATCTAGTGATCTGATTCGCCATCTCTGTACAGACATGAAAAATAATACAAGAACAAATTATTTTCTAATTTTATACCACTCGGTGTGTTTTAGCCAACAGTAAATTTATGTGAAATAGACACTATGTTACAAATCAGTGCCTATCGCTTATTTCCATTTCCATATATTGCAACTTAACCTTAAAGTAACAAGTTATATATTTTTTTCCTTGGCACTACAGCCCCAGTGGGCCTAGGCCTACCTCCATGAACTTCTCCGTTCATTTCGGTTTTTCTAGATATTACACATTCGGTAGGACCCCTTGGGCGGGTGATCAGCTCGTCGCAAGGCCTCTACCTGTACACAAACATAGAAAAACGCACACACACACAAACTAAACATCCATGCCTTGAGTGGGATTCGAACCCACGATCCCGGTTTCCAAGCGAGCGAAGACAGTACATGCCTTAGCACGCTCGGCTACCGTGCCCGGCAACAAGTTATATTACTTTAACGAAAATTATATAGACACTAGAAAAGAGGTACTGTTAACGTGCATTTTATTAACTGTACCAAATACTCAGTGCATTGTTCTTATTATTATTTCCTATCCTCCTATTTTGCATAAAGTTAAAGTAAACTTGTTACTATTTGTGGATGATTTACTTACAGTATTTTAGTTTAATGTATGGGAGCAGGAGCGCAAGAAAATTATCTCGAACTATCTCAGATTCCCGAGTTTCAATAAGAAGTCTACCCTATACCGCGGGACGCCAACGCAACTTGTTCCAACAAAAACACACTGCACTGTTCAAACGCAAACAGAGACAGCGTGCTTGCATCTCCTGTGTTATTCCTGACACATTCTTCAGATCAAAATAGCTGCACAAAATTGAGAACAATTTCCATGCTAACCTCACACTCAGACATGTGTTTGTGGGCAAATCGCCTGACAGAACGCGGTTATCGGGGTTTCGTCAGAGAGGCTTTGTGTTAACATTGTCGCGAGACTAGAAAAGTAAAGAGAAAGTGGGAGGGATTTTCGAAGTTTCGAGCGAGGGACAGAGTTGTGCGCTGTGCGCAATACTTTGTAACCCATTGGAACAATTTACGAATGTACAATAATAATAATAATAATAATAATAATAATAATAAATTAAATTCTTATTTATTTGTGCCCCAAATCAACAGCTCAAGGGCCAGTTACAAATTGAGAAGAAATGGAAGAAAGAAACAGACACACAAATTACAAAACAAGACAACTTATAATATCTGACTAATGATGATGATAATAAAATAATGATGGCATAGAGTTATAATTTATGAG